GCACAAACAAGGCAGGATTTCGAAAACATTGACCTCCAATCTCAGCCAAGTGTTCTTACCAGCGAAATCTCACCTCTTAAACAACATACATCTACGAACTCTACATTCTATGAGCCGAGCATTTTTGTGCATCCGAATATACATACAGTTCAAGCTAAAAGTGGCTCTACCACAGTAGACGGGGGGTCAAGCATACTAGAAGCCGCCGTTCGGCATCTTTTTGATGGTGAAGCTGAGATCAAAGCACTCAAAACAGCGCTCGCGGAATGCTGGACGCTCTGCAATACATTAGCCAGACTGAACTATATCCATCGCGGGCGTACTGCGGACAATGCTGGCACTGGCCGCATCGAAGAAAATGCATGGACATCATGCTGGAAGCTGTGTCAGAAGTTATATGAGAGTCAGAAAGATGAGTATGTATCGCAGGTCAAGCCGACGTTAGACCTGTGTCGTGAATTTTGCCAGACTTTATTTGAAATCCGCATCCGTGACAACGGGCTTGCAGATTCAGTGCTTCGGGTCAGTTTCGAATTAAATAATCACCTTTACAACACGCATGATCGACATCTACCAGACGCTTTCAGGGAAAGGACGCTGGATTTCTATATCACCCTTTGTCATCGTCTCATGAAACAGAGGACCCGTGTTTCGGAGACAGACTCTCTTCTGAAGGCTTCTTGGTCTCTGGCGGAGATGCTATTCACAATCCGCCAAGGTAAAAGGGAGGGGAGGCCGATAAACGAAGAAATGCTTGCCTCCGCTGTGCAAGCTTGCTGGGAACTCTGTGATCTTTTTCGTGAGGGATGGAAACAACGTAGCTTGCGTTACTCTGATCGTGGAACGCCACGACCGAGTCAGGCCACCTTCACCCATGGTATGCAGCAGGCCGGCCAACACGAAATCGCTGCTACAGATGAAGGGCTGCGCCAGCGAGGTAATCCCGAAACTCCTACAACCATTTTCGATGAGACCGCCACTATTTCGCCGGACGACGCCCCAGTTCAGAACATTTTTGTCTTGGGAAAAGATGCCGATCAATTTGTGCAGGCAAGGTGGTCCTCGAGTTTGTCAACAGTCTCAGATATCAGCCAATCTTCTGGGCAAACATCTTCGACAAATACTATAAAAACGTCGCCAAACGATACGACCCTGGCATGTATACAAGCTTTACTGGCCAGGACCGCGGTCGATAGCGGATTTCAGCCTGAAAAATCACAGAGTCTATCAAGCTTCGTAAAGATGCTTTCATCGGACGCGTTTGGATCGGCACCGTGGCAAATGTCACTTCTGAGGAGTTATAAGAGTCTTCTGGCACTTGACCCAGTATTTCGCAATATTGACTTCCAACCACACTCGAACGCTGCGGATATAGCAAGGGCTGTCCAAGTGACGACACAGGGCAGTCAATATCCATGGCTGCGGGATCTTTATCGACTGGTATTTGGCGTTCATGTGGATGATGTCGCCAGCCGTCAGGGGATCGCACTTCAGTAATGCATCTCTTGGCGAGGATAACATCAGAATTTTACTTCTTGTGGATACTGTAACTCGGGCTTGATCAGTCTATCTCAGCCACCATTATGATATTGTATATTGTTTGCTGATTGTGTCGATACTATGGTTAGAAATCCGGCTCAATGTCCAGGAATAAGTACGGTAAAGCCTTATCCGGGCGGATTTCCTCTTTTCTCCGTCTATTCTTCCCCCCGACATGACTCGAGTGACTGTCTTGCTCGAGGGCTTGCTTCTTATACTCTGCTCGTCGGGACCGACAGGCCGGTGGGCTCGTGATACAGCTTTCTTATCGATCCAGACAGAAAAGGTGTTTACCTGCCTGGTATTTCCGCTCATGTTGGTACTGGTAGCATTTACTCATTGCATGGCATTGTAAGCTGTGCTGAACTCCTACCAGGAATCATTTTCCTGTTTTGAGTCTGACAAATATTCAATGGTACTGGAAGCCGCAGCTCTGACTTACCAGGTATTTCTCCCGAGATTGAGGCTGAAGTCAAGCCGAAGCATCAAGGCTTCGACGGAGGAACTCGAGTCCCTACCTGGTCTGTTCGGCAGCCTCTGTACTTACATTGGCTGTTTCCATTCCTTCATTCTTACCTAGTCGTTTTCCAAAGATTTCCTTCCCTTTGAGAGGCGATGTACTTGTTTGCAACATATGGGGTATGTACTGCAATGACAATTTCAATTTGATTGGATATCATGCCTGCTGCGATAAATCTAATGGTCAATAGTGTGTATTATCTTTGGCTGGTGAAGCCACTGGCTACTATCTGACAAGCTTTTATGGTTGTGAGATCTCTGTCTCCAAGGAACGTAATGTTCTTCGCCTGATTACAACTCTCTGGTGATACATAGTTTACTAAGCAGTGCCAGAGTAATATAAATCATGGATTAAATTGTACATCCAGCTCCACAGTTTATATGTTCTAAGCATGAAGCATCATAATCTAACAATGAGCACGTAGGATCTAGTGTTAGCCAGAACGTGCACATCATATGGCGTAAGAGTATTTCGAACAATCCTATAATTGATGGAGGGTCTGACATGGTAAATTTCCTAGTATTATGCCTCTCTACCTCCTCCTTCGATATTTCCAGTGGCATTTTCTATCCATGACAAAAGTCCGTCTGATACCATGTGGGAGAAGCACATGCAAAGGGGTATTCTACAGCTCGGCAAAGTTTACAAGTTATGTTTGGCAAATCAATATGTAGAATGATCTCATCTATGGTAGAGGTAAGGTTAGCGTGGAAATGCAAATGGAAACGCCAATAGTCAGCCTACACTTAGCCCAGCAAAGACGTTAGGTAGGCATTTGTCACCTCTCAGGATAATACTCGATACACCAAGTAAAGTGCATCACTCCGGTCAGAGTACAATGAGTTGAAGGGGGACGGACATCCCCATCAGCTCGGGTAACGCGGGGGTAGTAAAGAATGCTTAGCAGCTAACCCATATAATCATTATTTTGTCTTCTCTTTTATCGATTTGTTGAAAGTCCCATTTATCCCATTTTCCCTACCTTCCTGATTTCGATCAAAGCAAGAAAACAAATTTATTTTAGCCCTATCGATCCCACTCAAAATCTCAAGGTCAGCCACATACGCAACGCGGGAGCACTGTCATGCTTATCACAGCGGTAATGACACGCATCCACATCCCACAGATGTCATAGGGGGCCAAAAACAACCGAACCACGCTCGATCATTTATTGAGAAACCTGAGTCTGGCAAACTTGGCGGCATTTAGTGTCAAGAACTCGGCATACTTTCCAAGGAATGTATAGAAGCACAAGCTCAAGAAAGTTAAAACTTAAAAAGCAACTTGGTACCCCTAAACTCTAGAGAGGTTTTAAGCATGATTCATTAATAAAGCCACATTGCTTCTCTTTATTTTCCGTGCTTGTGTTTAGGAAGCTAGTCTGTTCTGCGAGGCCGTACAGAGTACTAAAGTAGCTACATGTACCTCTCCAAGCACCAAATTGATAATACTATACAACCGCACAACCAATACCAAGTACAACCTGTGCCAATAGGGTTACTGTACCTCATCAAAAATCCTTAAGATGCAGATACCTCTCAACCAGGTAGGTACTCCGTATTATTTACTGACCAGCGGAATTCCGTATTGAGTAATGACCGAGGAAGGAATCGGGATGAACCTGTGCTAAACTGCCAGCCAAGACATGATGTGGCTTCCGGTATCCACCTAGTATCCACACCTGATGTTACAGTTTTGAAAAGGATAGGTTAGTTTGCAGGCGACAAGTACAAACCACAAAATGTTCAATCTAACACTCTGCAGGAACGTACGTAATAGACACAATACAAGCCCAATATTGACATATTACCTTATCTGGTTTTAGATGAGAGAATCTAATAATTGACACAAAAAATGGACAAGATGAACCTGTATAGTTTGATAGGATCTTATCTAGGACAGGCCATGAGATTCGCGCAATATCCCCATGTGAAAATCCCAGAAAGAACCAAGGCATTGAGGCCCTTTTCGAATTCCGCAGTTTCTTCGTCTCTCTGGTGTCTCTGATTCTGATTGTGGATACAATAAACCAGACCTTACGTATGATAAACCTCTTGGCGCTGTTTTAATAATTCAGAAATAATATGGTTGCTCAAGTAGCTGAGAAATTTGGTTTTGATTATTATGACTTGTTACTGTTGAAGTGAATACTTCCATGGGTCAAGGTGACCACACCTACCTAGGTACGTTGGTTTCAGCCTGAGCCCCGCTGCTTGTCAAGTCTTCCGATATGTTAAGCCAATGGTAAACTTGAAGCACTAAGCTAAAAGCTTTACTCCATGCACTAGCCCCAGGAGATCTCCGCCTCTAGCACCCCATGTTCCCAATGATATATCTTACCCTGGTCGTTTCCACCATATATTGATGGCTACCCTTTTCTCAAGGTGGATTAGCGGCGAGTTCAGACTGACCAAAACGGCTACTTATTGCATACTGGAGGTGAAAATTTTGGCTGCTACGAAATATGTTCCCCACCACCCTCGAAACCTTGCTAAAAGCGGAAAATTCAAGAGTTAGAGGAATTCTCTCCAGCTCACGGATCAGCCACGGGTGCTCTTGAGACTTGTGAGATTACTGTGGAGTCTCGGGTCAATTATGACTCCACACATTTTTTCCCATGTTCTGGGGGGGGTGCGTGGGGAAATATATAAACATGAGCTTCTTCCTCACATGTATCGACCTACCTAACCTCCTGCTCACACCGAGCCAACTTTCTTCCTCAGGTTGACAAAAGCAACCCATCTCGGACTGCCCGTTAGTTTGTCTGAAAAATTTAGGCCTGGGAGTCCGTTTTTGGCCGATACTCGCTGCCCGACTATAGGTCTACTCACTCTTCTCGGTTCTCTCGAGCAGGACCTTGCGCCGTGTTGCAGTTGAAAACTTTCCTTGTTCAAGAGCATCGCTTCTGTCTACTAGGTGCTTACCGCCTAGAAAGATCACCATGGCTGCCCCGAAGTTCGCTGGCATGTCCGGCGACCTGCTTATGCGAGCAGTGACAGCCGTAGCTACCATGGGCTTCTTGCTCTTCGGTTACGATCGTATGTTAATCGAACGCTTGGAATCGAGTCATCTCTTTGGTCCCCAGCTGATCACTTGAAACAGAAGGTGTTATGAGCAGCATCATCGATGCTCAACCTTTCAATGATGTATTTACGGCGACTAGAGGTAATTCGACTATGCAGGGCACAGTAACTGCCATTTACGAAATAGGTATGTTTGACACCCGAAAGAATAAAACATAATCTTTTACTGATGTTCTCTTCAGGATGTCTCTTTGGTGCTGTCTTTGTACTGGGTGCTGGGGACTGGCTGGGTCGCCGAAAGTCGATCATGGCGGGTGCAACCGTGATGATCATTGGCGTCATCATTCAAGTAACTTCGTATCCGGGACATGTCCCTCTCGCACAATTTATCGTTGGGCGAGTTATTACTGGCGTTGGAAATGGGATGAACACATCAACAATTCCAACTTACCAAGCTGAGTGCTCAAGAACCTCCAACAGAGGATTGCTTATCTGCATAGAAGGTGCTACTATCGCATTTGGTACTCTTATAGCCTATTGGATCGACTTTGGTGCATCTTATGGCTCGCCTGACCTTACATGGCGTTTCCCCATTGCATTCCAAATAGTCTTTGGTCTTTTCATCGTCTTTGGAATGATGGTTCTGCCTGAGTCTCCCCGCTGGCTGTTCACTCGCGAACGATATGAGGAGGGCGAAACTGTGATTGCCGCACTTATGGGCAAAGAGGTATCCCATCATGATGTGCAACTCCAGAAAAACATCATTCTTGACTCAATTAGAGCGTAAGTCATATTCCGGCGGTGTACCTATTGAGCCTGATGCTGACTTTTTGACAGTTCAGGTCAAGCGGGAAAGAACACCCCCTTGTCTGCTGTCTTCACCGGCGGGAAGACTCAGCATTTCCGACGAATGCTTTTAGGGTCCTCCTCCCAGTTTTTCCAGCAAATTGGCGGCTGCAATGCAGTCATCTATTACCTGCCAGTGCTTTTCAAGAACTCACTGAACCAGACACAGTTTATGTCTATGATACTGGGAGGCGTTAATATGATCGTCTACTCAATGTTCGCTACATTGTCGTGGTTTCTGATTGAGAGAGTTGGAAGACGCAAGCTCTTCCTTTGGGGCACAGTTGGCCAGTGCCTCTCAATGGTCCTCACTTTTGCTTGCTTGATTCCAGGCACTCCATCTGCTGCGAAGGGCGCTGCAGTAGGTCTCTTCACATACATTGCGTAAGTGCTTCTTATCGCCCTTCTGCGCCTCTTCAATTCACCCATTTAGGCCAGGATTCTGATATTGGGCCATATGTTGATCGTCTTCAGGTCTTTTGGTGCCACCTGGCTGCCCTTGCCTTGGCTATACCCTGCCGAAATTTCCCCGATCAAAACAAGAGCAAAGGCAAATGCTATCTCAACATGCACAAATTGGCTTTTCAATTTTCTCATCGTCATGGTGACTCCCATCATGATTTCTAATATTGGCTGGGGGACTTATCTTTTCTTTGCATGTATCAATGCATGCTTTCTCCCGGTCATTTATCTCTTCTATCCTGAGACTGCTGGGCGGTCACTGGAGGAAATTGATCTTATTTTTGCGAAAGGCTTTCTAGAGAACATAAGCTATGTTCGTGCTGCTAGAGAGTTGCCATTCCTCTCCGATGAGGATGTTGAGCGTGTGGCTATCCAGTACGGTTTTGGCCCTGCTGATGCGGACGTCAAGGGCAACGAGAGTAGCGACAGTGCAGAGTTCAGTGCTGCGAGGACGGAGGATCATGCAACGGCTGATCTCGAGAAGGGTGCGTTCACTCAGACTAATTAGATCTCTCTCATTCAGGTCTGGCGGAGTTGGCACATTTCCGCGCCTCTATTTCGCCTTGTATCAATATACTGCCCCTTAGTTTTCGCTTGAATTGGGTGGAGCGTCCTCCGCTGTGTTCAGTTCTGTTGCTATGGATACTTTGAATATATTCCTTGCTCTGATAGGATTACAGAAGTGTAGTCATGCTCAAATATCTAGACTTAATACCCATATCCTATGGGGCTATGGATGAGAATTCTTTGTATGATTCGAAATATCAACCCAGTGTAAAATGTAATTTTATAGTTGAATGGAAATCTAGCCATTGTAATGATACAAGCAAGTACCAGCTTGAGATGTGTTTACAATATACTCCATAATAAGTGATGTAATATCATAACACCCCCTTCCCTGCCCCCTACTTGAGAGATACAGGTGGTTATAGTGAGACATGCGGCCACCATGCATACATAATAATAAACTAATCTGCATGGGGTTGGTTCTTATAGGATTATTATAGAGTGAAGCAAAGCATTGGATGTCTTATTGCCTTGAGTCCCATTTTACCTTCCTGTCTTGGCGCTCAATCTGATTGGTTGAATAATCAGGCTTTCTGGCCTTTTGATTAGTCTAAAACATTACCTTCTTATTGGCTCATAAAAACCATTATCACATGCAACCCTCTTATACTGGATATAGCAGCTATAGCCTTATAGAGGCCTGCTTGCTTATATAGCATTATAGCTTATCTCTCTTACTAGATTCTATCTTAATTAATTCTCCTTACTTATTTACTTATATAGCTTATCTTTTTTACTAGATTCTATCTTAATTAATTCTTCTTACTTATTTACTTATATAGTGTAGTGGGCAGGGCCTGCTGAATGCTTGTACTCACTAAGCCCTTGTGATCTGCCTTAGGCACCAGTGAACTCCTATCCAGCTAGGATAATAGTAGTTACATAGTCTTACTTACTGTTTGCATACTCCTTTTTATGTTTAACTACTGCAACCCTAGTTAGAACTCTTTAGTGATTTCTTACTGTCTGAATCTAGGTTATAGATTTATATAGTGTGGTAGTTCATATGTCTTATGGTTATAGTATTGATTAATGATCTTCCATAAAGCTATCTATAGTGGGTCTTCCCAATATACAGTGGAGGTCACATGAACTACCATAATATAGGGGGGGCTTAACAAATTAGTAACCTTGCTAAAAAATATATTAATAATATATAATGGTGAAATGATGGAATCATTATAATATAGGCAATATATAATAGTAAAATAATAGTATATAATATTATATATAAAAGATTAGGTAAGAAGGTCTAGATAGGTATCCTTATTAGCCTTTACTTCTGCTAATACATCTGCTATAGCTTATTATATTTTAGTTATTATTAGCTATTAATTAATGCCTTACGCAGATAAGTCTTTCTAGTTTATATTAGTCTAATAGAAATACTATTATTCTAGTTAATATATAGCCTTTTTTACTTTATCAGAGAATATAGTATCTTTAGTATAGCCTAGACCTTTTATAAGAGTATAATATAGTATAAAGGCAGGCTTTCCCTATAGGTATTTTATAAGGTCTTTAGTAATATATAGTATAGTAATGCCTAGTGCTTTAAGAGCTAATAGCTATTTAGCCTAGTTAGGGTTAACCTCCTCTAGCAGCTTATATTTCTTAATTAGGTTCTTATTATCCTCTAATATTAATATATTATATGCTATATGTTAATTTATAATCTATATAATATAATCTAATAGGTCTAATAGTAGGATGACTTAATCTTCCTATTTATCTTTAGAATTACTATAGATTTTATCATATACTTATTTTTTACCTTTATCCTTTATTATTTATCTTATCTATAGTTTAGATAGATTTATAATAAGTATATCTACTACTGTAATTAATATCTTTAAGTTATAGAGTTATTATAATATCTATATTAGTAAGGGGGAGCCTCTACTATAATTCTATTAGTCTAGATAGATAGGTTAACTACTTAATTTTACTAGTTTACTATAGAAGAATATATTATACTTATTATTATTATCTTTATAGTTTTCCTGCTTAAGCTAGGTGTGGATTTTCTTTATAGTTAATTTATTATATATTTTAGATAGATTTAATTTATATACTACTTCTAGTAGTTTAACTTCCTAGTTTTACTAGTTGATTGATTGATTGATTGATTAATTCCTTACTCTGTTTCAGCACCGGGCTGGGCCATGCCGGAGGCTCCTAGTGAGCAGTAACTATCTAACTAATAGCCATCCTTCTGGACCAACACCACTAGTGTACATGAATATATATATATATACTAGGCACCTAGGCTAGGCTAAACCCCCTATAGATTCCCTTATAGATGCCCCTATTTTAGCCCTAGCTAAAATTATTAAGTACTACTACCCTAACTCCCTATTAATCTATCTATTCTAGCTAGGGCTAAAATTAGTGAGTACTACTATCCTTCCCTATTATTCTATCTTAGCTAGAGCTAAAATCACTAGCTTCCTTACTTCCCTATATATATCCTTACACCTGCCTAGGTGCCTATACAGGCCCACTTTCCCCTAAGATAATTACTAACCTATTTAGAATGCTGCAGATTCCCAAGCCTGTAAGGATTCTAGGGGTGTTATTACTAAATAGAGCTATCCCAGGCCCTAGGGGCCCTAGTCTGGCATACTAATACTATATAAATATATAGGTCAGGGCCATAGATGGTGGCACTATACTAATAAGAGTAACTAGTAGTATATAATAGTATATGATTATAGTTTATTAGCTATTATCTACTAGGGCTATTAGAAGCTAGGCACTGCTAGGGGTGCTTAGCTTAAGCTATACTAGCTAGGTAGCTTTAGCTAGATATATTAGCTAGCTAGTACTCAGTATAAGCTATATAGTCTACTAAATATACTATTTCTTTATTAAAGCCTCTATAAGGTTTTAAGGGGTCCTTTCTATACTAGTCTATATTACCTACTAAAGGTCATTATATTAGGTGTAGCTAAATAGTATATAGTAAATTATCTCTAGGGCCTGCCTATATAGGCAGAGGGGGTTATTAGCCTAGTTAATACTTAAGAGATAGTAATTTAGCCTAATCTTCCTAGTATATATCTAGGCCAGAACACTGCATTCTATAGGGGTGAGGTTATTATAGATAGTAAGTAAATATCTAGAGACCTTAGGAAGGAAGTACTAGAGATATCTACTATACTTAGACTACTACTAGGCCTCCTTCTATTACTCCTTAGTATACTATTTAATCTAGGTATCTAGGGGGCCCTATATAGGGTGATCTAGAAGTATAACTAGTAGTAGGGGCCTATACTACCCCTCTATAATATCCTATTACTATCTAGCTACCTCCTTTATCTTCTAGTCTACTAGCTTATTATTAGTAACCCCATGGTGTGCTGCTAGCTAGTGGAATAATATATTAAGTACTAGATCTAGCTAGTTAAGCAGGTCTACCATCTCCTAAACTAGATACTAGCTAGAGCCCTACTTAGGGATAAGTAGTATATATAGCACACCCTAATTATTAGAATAAATCTTAGCCTACTTCTATTAGCTATAGGAAGCCAGCAGTGCCTACTAAAGATTATATAATATTAGATCTTACTTAATAAGTTATAGGGCTAGTACTAATCCTATAATCTCTATAACTAGTACTATATGCTTAATATCTATCCCTAGGTAATATTATTAGTAGATAGGGGGGTCTAGGTATACTATAGTAGTGCCCACCCATCTATAGATATCAGAACTATTAGTATAGATCTAAATAGCCTCTAGGTAGGTAATATAGTAAATATTATAATAGATTATTAACTACTTCTTTATCTTCTTAATTACCACCTCTAGTAGCTCCCACTAGGGGGATACTACCTATAATAAGTATATCTCTAGCTCCCTAGAATTAATACTAGTTACTAATTTAATCTCCTCCTCTGCAGCTTCTAGCAGTAAGTATAATAATATATTCTAGTAGTATTAGTAGTAATCTAGAATGTGTATTTAATAGGCTAGAGTAGTAGTAATTTAGATAAGGGTCTAGATATAGTACTATTAGAGGAGTAATAGTATTAGGATAAGATATAGTTTAATATTAAATATAGCCTTACTAATTATTTAGAAGGCCTCTATAATTAGCTTCCTAGCCTAATACTAGATTTAGTTTAGTATCTTTATCTATTAGCTATAGATGTACTTCTAGCCCTAGACTAGCAGTGTATACTATACTAAGGTAGCATATAGTATAACTAGGGTAATATAGGTAGTATATATATACTAAAGCTCCTAGAGCTATAGGCCCTATTTAGAGCTACCTAGTATACTAATAGCCTAGAGGTGCTAGGTAGCCATGCTATTAATATACTAGAGATATACCTTAAAGATAAGGTTCTGGTTAAGAATAACCCTAAGGAGCTAGACTATTATACTAACTTTAATAACCTATCTATTACCTAGGTCTAGTAGCTCCCCTAGCCTACTACCTTAGCTAGATGGTTTAGCATCACCCTAGGCCTGCTAGCCCAGGAGGTAGAAGTAAATAAGCTAGAACTTTAATAGCTTAAATTAGAAGGTATAAGTAGTAGCCTAGTAAAGGTATCTATATTAGTAGTACTTCTATAGCTATTAATAGTTAGTATATTTACTATTACTAGTAGTAAGTATTATTATATTATTAATATATCTAATATTATTAGTATCCTATTTAGGGTCCCCCCACCCCATTAGGCCTGTGTTATAGAAGATATAGAGAATTAGAGAGAGGGGGAAGCTCTATAGGATGCTAGTCTCTATCTATTAGGTTAGTATAATATATTTAGGTAGAACTAGTAAGGTAGATTAGCCTTAGAGAAAGCTACTAAGCTAGGTAATATAAGGCTCTAGGACCCTTCTAGTATAGAGGTTATATAAGAGTTATTTATATAAGGTGTTATTAAAGGCCCTATAGATATTAAGTAGAAGGATAGAGATAACCTTATT